ATATATATATATATATATATAAGAGTCCTTAATAGAAAGGGACGCCTAATAAAATCACTCAAACACACATTGATGATGATTTAGTTCTAAGCAGTTAGCCCGATGACGAAAAATAATGAACAACCACTATTAAACACCCACCTCCCATTTCCCCGAGAGTGGCAGCTTACTATGGCTTTGAATGTAGTAGGTTTACATGACGACATGTGTAATGACAAATATTATTTTGTTAAATGGTATGTTCATTGATGGATATTTACTAACTAAATCTTTGCTATAAAGACTTACTCCACATGCCCCAGAAACAGGAGCTTCGAGGAGAAGCTTGAGGTGGCTTGAGGAATCTGAATCAGCTAATGAGTGCACCTCAGTACATCCTACAGCATAGAGGGGGCAGGGTCGCCCTTCCTTTGAACACACAAAAGCCAAATGGGAGAGCATCTTGCATCTAAAGAAAAATGAGTGGAAAGGATTTAGGAGAAAGAAACATTTTAGATAAAGAGCAANAACAACAACATAGTTCTGAATGCTGCTGCTAAAATAAAAATAGACATTGTTTGACCAAACAAATTCCTTTCTCATGCATATGTAAAATTAGCTGAATGATCAACATATTTTTGTATACTTACGGGGATTCCTGGACTGGGTGTTTCAGTAAGGTAGCCGTGTAGGCTCTCAAAGACTTCCCAAACTCCCCCAGATCCCTGCATGGCAAGAAATTATTTTTCACACAATTTAAGACTAACAGGTATGCATGCAGCACGTATATATTGTCAGCTCTTAAAAGCAAATATATGTACGTTGACTGAGACTACTTCAATTTTATATCAAACCATAAAACATTTTGAAACATGCAAACATGGCTTGACGATATTGTGAACCCTCTAGCAATTAGCAATACGTATTAAATTGGGATTAAATAAATAAGCTTAAATTTTAAATAAATAACTCAAAATTTAAGGTCACTCGGAACCTTATGTACAAAACTTTTTTGAAACTTTGCCAAAAGTTGCATCATTAAAAATTTAATTTAATTTAACTTCTTAAAATTTAATAGAAAACAAAAATTCACCATGATGTTTTTGAATTATAAGCCTCTAAAGCTGTAGTTAATGGCATTTTTAGCAGGTCATACTGTTGCTATGGTAACCTGTTGTGTCCCGAAAATGATAACAATGTGTTCACCAATGATCATGCATTTTTTAATAACATGATTGTAACTTCAAGTGATAAAGAGTAGTTGTAAATGACCCATCGCAATCTAAGTGCTAGAAACTGTTTTGAGCCACCTTAAGCTATGCAAATAAAACTGATTACAATTCCGATCATATGAAATTATATCCAAAATTATGTGCAAGGCGAGGTTAGTTAGGGAAAAAGTGCTATTATTTTTGCTGATTGGTTCGGTCAAGTTAAGCGTTCTTATCTGACTAGACTATTGCTCAGCTAACAAAATATGGGGTTCAAGATTGGGTAGTAGTTGGACCAAACAACAACATCTTTAGTTCACTGACCGATAGAAGAGAAGTTAATCAATCGATACCAACCTCATTGAGTGATGGGGGAATCAATTCCTCCCGATGGCCATCCTAATCACTGAACTCTTCCCAGCTGTAGACAGAGTCCCTGTCATCGTGATCTCTCGCGTGCAAAGAGTTTGCTTTAATTAATCACTAACACTTTGAACTTCCTACCGGAGCGATAAAACGACAGGCAACTTTATTTCGCAATGTGAGGAATGTAGGTTTAAAAATTGTATAAGAATTAAACGTATTTGGTCAACGCAGCTAAACTTCACAGCAATGATACGTGAATTGAAGGTCAAATGCACGAAAACATGCGGAAGTTCAGATCAATTCACAAATTCTCGTTAGCTTTGATTTTGATAGCACGAGTTGACATGAAGTCAAATCAACAACCATTACTTTAGTCTCAAAACAATCTTTTAGCTTGGAGAGGCTAGTGTCACCAGCCAAACCCAATTTCTGCATAATCTTACAAAAGGATCAAGTTCCCCTTGCATCAAACATTCTTGTCAATCCGACGTTTTGCCCTTTTAGTCAATAGAAGCTTGGACACCAAATTAGAAATAGAAACTTGTGCAACTCCAGTGTGGTGCGTTAAACTGTGAAATGAGTTTGTGATTGCTGAATCACGTCTTGAAATTATGACTGATGTAAAAGGCACAGACAGCAAAAGAATGCCTTTGTCATTTACAATTATTTACCAGCCGGCCAGACAAGTCTGCAAAAGTTGCTAGTGCAATAACGCATGGCTCAGGAAGGGGAAATTTCAGACATACCTCTGCATTGCTGATGCTAAGTTGTGGACTTGCTGGGGAACTCATTTCTAATTAGCTTTCAGGCAAACTAACAAGTAGCGTGAAAAAGCGTTTTCTTTTAGTGGTCCTAAGTGGTCCTCGATGTATCGGTAAAGTGATGCTAAAGGACAAATTGCCTCGTGGCACACGCACACGTTTATAACTGCAATACCTGTCATTCCAAATGATCTGTCAAGATCCAGGGCCTGGGGAATATCAGCAAAACAAATAGTTCTCTATTCGAATTGATCTGGCGGAAATAGAAAAGATCTTTTGGACCTCTCCGATTCGTCATTCAATTACGGGTGTCCGCCCACACCAGTTGACAGATTTAACAGTGTTGCTTGTTTCATGGCTACAAAGAGCTTTGTAAATTTGTTGGCTCTTTTTACAGGATCCCCCATCTTGTTGTAGGCTCAATTTCTGCCGCTTTCTCGTGTCTGGTATACGTGGATCACGTGCTTCTTTACCGAACAGCGGCTTGTAATCGAGCCTAATCTCGTTAATCGTTGCTCATAAATTTGTGTTCTCATTAGCCTGTTTAGAGGCACGGTCAGTGGGGTCGATCGAAGATTAAAGCAGGTGGGTGATGAGCAGGGACTGGTAGAGTTTACAGCCCACATGTTGAATAATTTCAGCCTACATTCCGTTCAGATGCAGAGTTGCTCAGAGACCCTCCATTTTAAGTTTTCCCCTTCACCCCAGAGGTCTCTAGAAGATACGGGTAGTCGGTTGTACCTCATTTAATATTATGTAAATTAGAGAACGAAGCGAAGAGATCACAAAAAGTCGATATCGTCTATTTTTTAGGGACACTTTTTTGGTGTTTCTCATGGCTCATTCCATCATTCCAAGGGTTTACAGTTAAAATGTTCACTGAAAACGAACAACGAACTCAACTAAACTTGAATTGTTCAGTTACCAGATCAATATCACAACAATAACTTTGCCACGAAATGTTATCGATTTGCAAATTGGGCGGAACCATCAATCGATCAGGTTTCAAAGGTGGCAAATCTGCAGACTATTTTCTCCGTGCCTGCAACCTCGCTTCCCTGCTCCATCTCATTCACTTGAAACTTAAACTTCTCGCAGGCAGTCTACCTTCTCAATGAGGAAGTTCCATGGATTTAGCTGTCAAGAGGAGCGGAGAGTCTTACTGTTTTTTGATCCCGGTTAAAAAATAATAATAACATAAGTAGACACACAAATCTCCTAAAAGCAGCCTCGTTCTTAGGGTCTTTCTTCTTCCTGCCCCTCTCTTGCTCCAGGGGGTGTGAAAAAGAGAAACCCTGGGTAGGAGATTGATCGACAAGTTGTTCAAAAACGTCTCCAGACGTTTTTTACTATCCTTCTCATTAGGCCCCTCATTAGCTAATCACCCATCGCGCTCCACTCGCTTACGTTGGTTGACCCGCTAGGAAAAGCCATGCTATCGAATATAGATCTTGTTTGAACTTTATAGGCAATATTTATATACTAGACTGAAAGGTATATCAAATTTACGTAACAGGCACAGAACATGAAATTTTGCAGTGATAGTTATGCTTTCTGGACAAGCCGGAACTAGTCACAAATCGCCAATAGGAAAATTATACTTCCGAGTACTTTTTAGAAAGAGAGGCCAGTGAAAAAGAAATAAAATAATATTAACTTTTCCAAGGAAGTTAAGAAAGCGTGACCCAACAAAATTTGGAAAAAATGTTTTAAAATTACCGTAATTTACAGTAGGGAAACTACACCCTTTAAAAAAAATAATCACAACAGTGTTTTTGGAAAATAATTTATTAATGGAAATGGAACTTGAAAAAGGAACTGTTTCACATCGGTAAATAAGAAAAAAGTAAAAATGTAAAATCATTGTATATTGGAAAAAAGATGGCATTTGAAAATATTCAATTATTTATTACTCTAATCATTCTATATTGGGAAATACAACAAATTTCGTGAAAAAAAAGGAAAAATATTTGTTGAGACAGAGAAAATGGGAAATGTTATTTATTGAAAAAGAGAGAAAATGGAAATTGAAATTGATTTTTTCTAGTTTATTTTTTACCGAAAAGAAACACGAAAAATTGTTAAGTTGAAATATAAAAAAAAATTGTGAAAATAGGGGATCATTGAAAGTTATTTTATATTGAAAAGTACAAAAAAAAATGAGAAATAGATTATACTGGTAGTCAGTGAAAAATAGGCGAAAATTATTTTATGTTAAATAATAAAACAAAATTCCAAAGTTATTTCGATTGGAAAGACGAGATGAAAGAAATGCAGAAAAATTATTATGCATCAGTAGATAAAATGAAATTTAAAAACAAAATAAGGATTAAAAATAACAGTAAAAGAAGAAATTGGGAGAAATTAATGCGGGTGTTGTTTGTATAATGGTGGTGGTGGTGATGGACAATGGTCAGTGCTGGTGGTGCTGGTGCTGGGTGGTGATCTGCGGGTGATCTTCTTCTTCGTCTTACCCTGGCCGAGGGACAGGCCCTTGCCTTGTGGCCCATTCCTCGGCAGCTAAAGCAGCGCATTACGGGAAATAAGATAATAAATATATTTGAAGGAAAATTTTGAAAATTTTGAAAGGTACACAGAGAATCATACACAGGGGCACGTAGATGAGGACTTTCTATCCCATTTTTCTGATCTTACTAGTTATACAACGCTCTCGCATGGTATACCATGGAATAGCCTACAAGTCAGTTGTATTTTCTCGGTATACACGTGAACCTTTAGGTTAGTGTGTATTCCAAGAATAAGTGGTATATTCCATGGTATACCATGCGAGAAAGTTGTAAAAATGATTTATACCAGAGACTAATGACACGTGCGAACCACGGGAAGACGTGTCCACGCGAGATAGTCACAATTGATTTTGTTTCAATTGACATTTGATGGGTAAAAAATACTGGCGGGAGATTTACACAGATCCACTGAGCCGAATAGTGGATCCATGTGTTATGCCTTAACTAATGATCAGACGCATGGAAAAGACGCATGGAAAACTGACTTCAGAATTTGTTAAATGGAGACTTTGGCTCTCAAACTGACTACGAAAGAAAAAACTGAAGTTGCATTTCCTCATTTTCTGAGTATTTTTACGAGGCATGACATAAACTTTATTGAGAAAACTTGCAAATTTGAGGGTCCTCTAAAGAAATGAATCTAAGTGAGAAGCTTCAAATAGTAATTACCGTGCTATCAGTATATTTTTAGCATCATCTCATTAACTATTTAACTGTGTTTTCTGTTCCATGCATGGTAAAGAAACTTTTGTTCTCTTGACGCAACAATGTCAGGAAAGACAGCCACCAAGAGCTAGGAACTCTCGCTTCTTCTCAACCGCAGGTGGTTTCTTATATTCTCCTTCCAGTTGTCCTTCATAAATCCTGATCTCTCTTCGTCCTTCTTCTTCTTCTCTTCTATCGTCTGTTTCTGCCTCGCGATCTACGAAGATAATGATCCGCAATCAGTTCAGATGTTCGGCAATTACAGCAATTTTTGAACTTTGAAAGTCATAAACAAGAACGACACTAATTTTTCTACAGTGTAATACCTCTTTGAACTTGAAAGTGCTCTCGTCGATCTTCTGTCCTATTCTCGCGTTCGCGTCGCCGCAACAAATGTTCCCTCTCTCATGCATCTAAACGACCACAGAAGAAACGATTAGTTAACTAATCAAATAATTATGGATGAAAAGGCATCGTAGTTGGTATACATGAATTGTGATCAGTGCCAAAAAGGAAGCAAATTTTGTAAAATAGACTGGCAATTACCATCATCGCTCACACTCCTGCTCCTCACATTTGACTCGCGTCTGTTTGACATGGCTGTATGAAATCTACAATAGTAAAGAGTAAGGATACGCAAACATGAGTTCAGAATAAAAAATTCAAAGTCTGTAAGTCTAGGTTCACAACGCTATTTCCTTTATCTACATGTTTCAGGCATGTCTTTGAAATGTGTTTTTAGTACGTATAACCAAGCGCTTTTACAGCGTTGTTATACTCAACTTTGTAACAGTGGTAGCTTTTTTCTGCAGGCTAAACCCAGCTAAAGACATGCCATCTAGACCTGGACTAGGAATCTAAGGGACCAAATGCGGAAGTTAAATCCATCAAAAAGCCTTATGACTACTAGTCTACAGACCAAGCATTCACATAGGCTATGAAAAGGGTTTTTTTTTGTACACTTAAGCCATGATTTTCAAATGTCTTCAAAACAACCAGAAATGATTGCCATTTAAACAAGGTGCAAGACTGAGGAAGGGGAGGAATTCCAAAGAAGAATATTCTCCTTGCTTCTTATAAGTTACATGAACAAAGAATACTGCCATTTAAAACATAAAAGCAATATACAGAATTTAATGTTAACTACCAATGTACCAGTCCTTAGTCACAGCTGCTTGTTTAAAGTTTTTCCTGGGGGGGGACCTCTGTTAAGCGGCCACCCGTTGAGTTGTAACCCCTTGTTTAACAGCAACCCCTTATTAACTTGCCATTTATCGAGAAATAATTTTCGCTAACTACTACAAACAAAACCCCTATGAAATGGCCATCCAAAGTTTAATGCACGTCTATCGTAGGTTTGTTTTGGAAAAGACATATATAAATAAGAGTCCTTAACAGAAAGGGACGCCTAATAAAATCACTCAAACACACATTGATGATGATTCAGTTCTAAACAGTTAGCCCGATGATGAAAAATAGTGAACAACCACTCTTACAAACCCACCTTCCATTTCACCGAGAGTGACAGCTTACTAGGGCTTTGAATATAGCAGGTTTACAAGACGTGTAATGACAAATATTTGTTAAATGGTATGTTTATTGATGGATATTTACTAAATCATTGCTACAAAGACTTACTCCACATGCCCCAGAAACACGAGCTTCGAGGAGAAGCTTGAAGTGACTTGAGGAATCTGGATCTGCTAATGAGTGCACCTCAGTACATCCTACAGCATAGAGGGGGCAGGGTCGCACTTTGAACACACAAAAGCCAAGTGGGACAGCATCTTGCATCTAAAGAAAAATGATTTAGCAGCAGGAAATATATTAGATAAAGAGCAAATGAAGAGTATCTACCACAAGTAGCTCCCATCAATAACAATACATAATTAACTAAAATCTACCTTTCAACCTGAAAATCCCACAATTGTTCGGACATGGCACCAATTTGCCAACACAAAGCTCATCATGAACTGATTGATTACTATGTGGAACATCCACACCACAGGAAGGGCACTTCTCTGTCCTGTCAGGGCAAATTAGCAGATGCTGGGCAAGTTCACGTTGGTAAGAACGAAGAATGCATCCTCTACCTTTAAAATTGCATTCCATGATCTTCATATCGCAATGTAGGTGATTCTCCAGACCAGCTGTTGGCCCAGTCCAGCTGCAGCCACCAGGAAGAGAGATTGTTGACGGACACTTTATTACTCTCCTGCTAATAGCACCTTCAACTGCAAGATTTCTAACCGAAGTGTCACTTAAAACTCTCCTGTCGACTGGACAATGATTATTATTTGACTGCCACTGGGTGATGCAGTGGTGGCAGAAGGAATGCCCATCTTGACAAGAGACTGGCTTGTTGAACACACTATAACTACAACAACAACAACAACAAAAAATTTCACAATTTATTCCAAAAAATTTGGCAGTAGCCACAAAAATTGATGCTGTCACAGCCTTAAAAATTGATTCTACAAATACATCTAAAAAATTCCACAATTTTTGATGGAAAAGTTGATGGCATTACTTATATATAGGAATAGACCTTTTTGGACTGGGCAGTTTGTTGCCCCATTTCAGAGCATGTGATGATACTCTTGACAATTTTTCCTTCAAATTTTTCAAATAGCTGTGTGTATATGAACAAATAATTTTTAGATGGATAAAAGAACAAATCTCTAGGGAATATCACGTGGTCTGTAATAGGACAACAATCCACCCAAGCGAAAAAGGTCTCTACAAGTAAGACTGGGACTGTCAAAGGATGGTAACGTCCTTGAAACCGTTCCAGGGTTGGAACTCTTAAATTGCTGCAAAATATGCACAAATAAATTCACTCACCAGATACTGCAAAGAAACTCCTGGTCCACATTTTCCACAAACAATTCAGGAGAATATCCAGACATGATTCTATCGGACAATTAAGACTTAAAAATTACGAACAAAAATGAGCAAAAAGATAGACAAGAAAGATGGATCGAACAGAGTATGATTGAGGGCAGCAACGATCAAGCACGTCAGAGAGGAACAGATCGATGAGCTGCAGACAACAACAAGATAACACTAAATAAACAATGCAATGAATCTAAAGAACCAACTGTAAATGTATAGCGGCAATAATCCTATCGAGCGAATTGTGAGCTTGAATGGCAACTTCCATGAGAAGATGATTGGGCAAAGAGCGAAACGATCAAAATATGGCGGAACTATATTGAGCTGAGAGAAACTGGGGTAAATAGACTTCGTGTAGGAGAACAGTTTGTGTCCTTGACAGGCGGTAACCAGGGGTTTGAATGTCACTACTGGCTTCACATTACATGGTATACTTCATTACGAGCTTCGCATTACATGGTATAGCCATGACAACCATCTTATTTCGAGATAGAATTACATGACATGATGATATCACATTACTTATTTCGACCTATTTCGACCTGTTTCATATCTTTTCGACACATGATGAGTAGTAATATGTCATAATATGTCGTAATATGAGTCGTAATATGTCGTAATATGTGGAAAGGTAATTTTGCTACAGATGGCGTGCTATATGCCTATAGCCCACTGGCAAATTCACACAGCTTCTAATCGCCTCCCTAGCCTTTCCTGTAGATTGTGCAAGCAGGTGCGTAAGTCTCTGTGATTCATCATATACTTGGCTTTCAATGTTATCTCTAAAGTTCGTGACAAACTCTGCATACTCCAAAGGATCCCCACTAAATTTCATTAATTCCACCTTCGGTAAGGATGGGCCTTGTTNGTTCGTGACGAACTCTGCATACTCCAAAGGATCCCCACTAAATTTCATTAATTCCACCTTCGGTAAGGATGGGCCTTGTTTAATGGCCTGTGCGATGGTTATCCAAGCATCGGACTGCTGTGATTGGAGACTACTGTGCTCTACAGGTGACGGACAAGGGTATCTTGCCAGAGGGTATGTGGCCTGCTGTGGAGTGGTCACTGAGCAAAACTCAGCTGTCTTTCCATTTAGACCTGTAGTTTGTGGACTACGAGGCTGTGTATACATTCCTGGCGTCGACTGGTTCCTTATTGCTGACAGACCAGCAAGAGTGTACAATGGCTCAGAGATCGCAGTATATTCAGGTGTGGTCCTCCGAAGTGAAAAGAGAGGCACAGCTGATGGGCATGGTGCATGTAACAGTATGGGGCAATGTCGCGGCAGTCAAATCCTCTGAACCTGTCTTAGTACTAGCTACTGAGACTACACAAGGCGTTGAGGAGAGGTGACTACTGGCTGCGTTGTTGCAGGTTTTGGTACTGACAACTAAGGAAGTTGAGGCTGAGCAGAACTAAGTGCTGTCAATGATGTTGAGATTGCTTCTTGACCACTGACAGGCTGCGATTCTGAGATGGGCGTGACACTATTTACATCTGGTTGCAACAAATGATCTTTACTAAGAGCATTTTGGGCATAATGTTCCTTAAGATAATGATTCATCCCATCCCCACCTTCATCTTCTACACTTTGCTCTATGAGTAAGTCTACTTCTGCCCGTCTCACTCTAGGTTTGGCATTTAATAACTCCATCTTCCTGGTCAACTCTGCTTTTCCTTTTTCGACTTGTTCTAATTCTCATTGGAGATCTTGTCTTTTTTTCAGGGTTTCCATTTCTAACTTGGCTTCTTCGATCACTCTTCATCTCTAACACTATTTCTACTGCTGACATAACTCTTCTCACTCTTAGCAGATCTCACACTAAGTCCAGATTCAGATGGGGGACTCCCCACCCCTTTCCTTTTGGCTCTCCAATTATTTACCAAAATATCTAAGTGCAATTTCATGTCTCTTTGATTGTCATAACTGTCAATCATCAATACTCCTCTCTTCGTCTTCTTCATATAGAAGATAGTTATCATGACTGCTAACAAAATTATGAAATGCTTCTTCATACCTGGCAATGCCGTCTTCTACCTTGTTCACCTGCGCATCAGGACTTGCAAATAATTTCGCCATTTCCACAGTTCTCCTATATGTCCAGCTCTCTGATGTTTCACATGGACGGCTTTCTTGGCATTCACTTCTTCGTTCAACGTCTAGTTCAGCACCTTCGTCCTAGTCGGCCTGGATATCCCACTAGAAGCTTGAGGATTTTTGTCAACAAAAACCACAATCCACATTCCCTTCAGCTAATGATGGCCATAAATACCCAATTCCACCACTCTCATTGCTTTGAAACATTTGAGCATTTGACGATTTCGCTTGCTCAGCAGTATTTAACACCATGTGCGATCCTCCACAATCAACGCTTTTCAGAGTAATTTTGCTCGCCGATTTCTTTTTGGCAGGCATTTCCAATATGCGATCAGACAAGCTGGGTTTCTTTCATAAATGACTCTTCCATACGGTTTTCAACTTGAAACCAATAACTTCGAATGATGTAGCGGCCAACTACGCTGGGCCAGGTCAATAACTCGTATTCATTCAGGTTAACACACATTTGATTTATGCAACTGAAACATCTGAACATTTGAAAGGTGTGAAAGATTCGCTGCAACAAGAAAACGATATGCTAGCTTACAACGTTGTGTACAATATAGAAATACAAGTAAAAGAACCAAGCAAAAGCCATACTTACAAGTTATTGTGCTTACATTCCTACAATCGCAGTACGAACCTAGAAATCCGTACGCTCGAGAAAATAAAAATACCTATATATTGGTCAGCGGTAGTGACTACATGTAGCAAATATGAAATGAAATTTACAACCTACTCCAGCTGTTCTCGGCAAAAAACACATTCTCTTTGCATCGGCAGGGTTGCACATCTCTCACAAGTACACCACAGAACATTTTCCAACCAATTGTTCCATTCAACTTTATTATTGTCATCCCCAGAATCACTAGCATGTTCTAGCTTCAAGCGCAGCCATACTAAAGCTCAAAGGAACAAACACATTGTCGGACGGAATGACGTCACGGATATGTGGTCTGGCCTTGAAGATCCTTTCAAAATGGTGGCCCCCGGTGTTAAACTTTTCATTTTTTTTCATTAGGATCGCATCCACTTCAGAAACTAAAGCAACGGTGAGTAACTCAACTCAATGTGAACTTTTTATTGGTGATGGAAAAAATACATGTTTTTGGAGTGACCTCCTTTAAAAGTGTTTTTTACCTATTGGTAAACCTTTTCAAACTCGTTTCTTTGAACCACTTCTTTAAGTTGTTGGGACTCTTCCATTTTAGATTTCAGTTGACCCTTCATTGGATATTTATTAACGTCCTTAAAACACGCTGCTAGGATGGCATTGTCATCTTTACTCCATCTTTGATGGGAGGAGACGGTGTCCGATGAGACAATCAAATTTGTCTCTTGCCAAGCCTGAATCAGTTCTTTTTCCTGCATGGCTTCCGGGAGGCTTCTGGGTATGATGGACTGACAATGACGGACACAGTGGGCCACCTTCCAATCCATCCCCAGAACCAACAGAAGCTTTGTCGATGACACGGAATCTGTCATTCCTGCTCGGGTCTCCGGTAGCATGACCTTGGTGTTAGAAGAAATTATATCAGCCAAGACATTGTAAATCACGGTTTTCTCCTTCTCAGATAGCGACCTAGTCGACTACGTCTCTGATGTATCAGACGGAGTTCTGTCTTCCAGCTGGGTCACTGATTGTAGATCGGCTTGAGATTGGGTGCTTGTCTCGAAAGATGTTGGGGTTTCACCCAGAGGTGGTGTTGGTTGTGTTGCTCCAGGAGTGGTCACAGGCTGCAGATCAGCTTGAGATTGGGTGCTTGTCTCAGAAGGTGTTACTGTTTAACCTAGAGGTAGTGTTGGTTGTGTTGCTTCCTTGATCTTTTTCTGGTGGTACACCATGACAATCCACTTCTGGATGTTTGTTGCTGTCACATGGAAATCCATCCTCACACCTTATTTCTTCCATATCTCCGTGATTTGGCTGTATATCATTCCACCAACAAAAGGTTGTCCTTCACACATTAGGTGATCTACATCCTACATCCATTCTACTTCTTCTCAGGTAGCTTCCCAGAGCTTAGGGTAGATGTGCCTTGTGTTTCATGCTAGTGAGACTGGTTTTCATAAAGTTCTCGTTTGAATCTTTTCTCTTTGTTTTAGATGCGTTCCCCAGCCGGATAAACCTTTCCCTGCTCTTTTTTATCTGTTCCCTGTCTGTCATTTTTAACTCGTGAATTGTGCATGTGCAACACGAGTTAACATGAGTTATGGAAAATGTTTTGCTCGATCACCGGGCTGTAAACATTATGCAAATGAGGTATGCTTGCGGCTTACTTTTAAATTGGTGTCCATCTTTAATTAAAATAAGCTGTTTTAAAGATCTAAATTAAAAGATGTACGTTTAAGAAGACTCAGCCACCAAAAATGAGAACATCAAAAATCGTAAAATCGATGAGCAGCACAAGTTTGCTCTGGATGCAGACTTTGTATGGATCTTAGACACGGAAGTGTTGAAGTACGGTTATGGTATGGTAAATCCGCATATAGTGAGCAAAATGATATAAAAACAGAGCATTTATTGTATCACTAAAAACAACGAAAAAAAAGGAAAAAACAAAAATCAACATCCAACTGGAGTCAATCACAGTCTCTTTTAAATGTTGACTTGTCCACTACCCACTGTACTAAGTGACATTATGTGGATTACAAAACAAGCATTATTACAATTAATTAAACCACTGATAACTCAGCAGGCTCGAGTTTGTATGAGGATTGTTGCTAGGTAATTTGTCCTTCACCAAACAACTGTCAGTGAGTATGTTTGGTATTTGTGGATTTTTCTGACGCTCGACTGCCTTTTTTAAAACTTTAGAGGTCACATGCTCATTGGTTGGCAAATAGAGTCGCAATGTTTGTTTTGAGGGAAGATCTTCATGACTTGTTTTGCACCTGGGCTCTTCACAAGCTACACACAACACAGATAAGCTGAAACAAGGTGTTTTGTTCAAGAAGCTTGGTTTTGAAGAAATCAGAGTGAATCAACGTAGTAGTTGAAGGATACATTAGTTGTCGTGATCACTGACTGGATCTGGAGAGAGTTTAACATTCCACATTAGGCCGTTTGTGTTGGACTTTTTTGAACATGGTGAAAGAGAAGTTGTTGAGACAGTTTGTCTTGTTATTTTTCCTTTGATTTCCTTGATGAGAGACGAGGTGTCCAGCCTGAACAGGAAAGGAGTCAAAGCTGTAGTTTTTGGGCCAGAAGGCTCTGACACGGAAATTAAAGATGGTTTTGATGGTAAATACAACCTTGTGTTTACAAAGGCGGTGTGCTTTCAAGTGGGAAATGGGAGGTGGCTGCTTAATAGGGTTTGGCAGCTTAATAGAGGTTGGTGTACCTCAAATATTTTTTCACTATCGGGTTATAAATTTCTTAGTGAACATGGAGTCAACGAATTGACTCCATGTTCACTAAGAAATTTATAACTTGACCACCTCCCATTTCCCTGAGGCTAGCCCACTGTATTATATGTAAACCAAAAATAATTGCACAGCATGAAAAGACCTTGGTATGAGTTTCATGTTACAGTATTATGCAGGGCATGTAGGTAGCAGTGGTCTAGTAAAAGATGACAACACGGGCAATGGTTAACTATTCATTCTTCTCATTTCTTAATTTAATCTCTTCCCACTGAACAAGATTGTGTGCTTCTTATGGTTCCAAGCCTTACGAAGCCTTATGTATTAGGATAGAAATTGTCCTACCCCTACCCTCTTAAATGGGATGACAGCAT